TTGCTTTTGATGAATTTGATGCTAAATAAACACCCTTACGAAATCTTAAATAAGATTCCTTTGAACTAGATTCCAAAGATAAATTGAAACCATTTTTCATTATATTGCAGCCACCACAACTATTACAAGACAAATCTGAACATGTATTTGGTACACCGTGATATAATGTGGTAAGGTTATATGGAGGCAACAGTTGTTTTGCAAGCTCTATTTTCTTTTGATTTCCAAAAATATTTAAAAAAACTTCCGATGGAAAAACTTCACCATTCATTTCACTACTACTCTTTTCCCAACTAAATAAAAAATCTTTCCAAATATTATTTAATTCTAAATTTATAGACATTTAATTATTTTTTTTATTTATTTATTAATTTATTTATTTATTTATTTATTTATTTATTTATTTATTTATTTATTTATTTATTTATGTATCTGTTCCTTTTATTTATTTATTCATTTATTATTAATTTAAAATGTTTGATTTATTAATTTAAAAACTTAAAACTTAATTTAAAGATTAAGTTTTTTAAATTGGAGGGGTGGGGGGGGAGTTTAAAAAAATGAGTTAAATTATTATTTCTATTATTACTTTTATTAAATTCCACTGAATTCTAAACTGCTATTAATGGGCCATTTTTCATCTTTGTTGCCACTGGCACTTTAATTTGAACATTCCTGGATAAAGAAACAACTTTAAAGAGATGTTTGTTTTCTCTAAATTAAATCTATTTATACTTTGTATTTTTTTTTTTTTTTTTTTTTATTATATATATTTTTATTTTATTGTTTTTGGACATTTAATAAAATTTTCCACCTTTTTATTTTATTTATTTAACCTTCATTATATTTACATTTTGTTTTATAATTAAATCCATCAAATAAATAAACAATAAATAAAAATAAAAAATAAAAAAACAACCACATTCACACAAACAAAGCACTACCACATTTGTAATTTATACAATTCAATAAAATGTTTATTAATTTTAAAAAATATATTTAAAAAAAAAATAAAAATAATTTATTTTAAAAAAAAATTTTAAAAAAAAAAAAAAATAAAAAAAAAAAAAAATCTTCGTTTTATTATTATTTTATTTTTTCAGTTCAATAAGATATTTTCATTTTAATCTTTATTACTTCTTTTTTTATCTTTATTTAAAATAATTATTTATAAATAATATGAATACTATATAAATAATAATTTTAAAATAATTTTTTACCAAACAAAAATTATATTTTTTCTTTTTATTATATTAAAAAAAATAAAATAAAATAAATAATAATAGTAACAATGGATATTTTTGAAGATGTACCATTAACAACCCAAAACTCTCAAGTTAATAATAATAATAAAAATATAAATAACAGCAACAGTAATAACAACTTATCACCATTAATTAATGAAAAAAAGAACGAATTCGATAATAGCACTCCCATATTACTTTCAAATAATGATATAAATTTAGGTTTAAATAATTTTCAGCAAAACTTTCAATATTTGATTCCTAATGGCGCAAGTAGCGGAGGCAGTGTAATAACCTCACCCTATATTAAATCATCAATCCAAAATAAAAACAGCCCAAAGATATTAACTAATAATAACAATAATTGTAATAATAACAATACAAAGCCAATTGATAATTTTAATTTGTATGAAAATAATCAAAACAATAAAAATACTATAATCGATAACAATAATTTAAATTCTAACGACTATAATAAAAATGAAACAATAAAACTAATTAATAATATTGATAATATATTGTATAACAATAATAAAAATAACGAAAGTAAACAATTTTATAATAATGATATCAATAATAATAACAATAATAAAATTAAAAAATTAATAAATCAAACTATATCGAAACCCTTATCAATATTTTTTCAAGTATTTAGCTCTTATTTTGATAAACGACATCAATCCCCAGCAACAACAACATCATCAGCAACTATTAAAAATTCAGATTTAGGTAGTGCACCTTCAGGAAATAATAAAGATAGTTTAGCAGTATCAACAAACAATAATATTGAAATTGAATTTAGCTCAGAGTTTAGTAACAATAACAGCAACTCAATTAATAATAGTAATAATACAACAAATAATAACAACATCAAACCAAATATAATATTTTATACATCCTATGTTGTAATTCTATATTTAATTTATGGATTTTTACAAGAACTATTATTTAAAAAACAAGAGGTTAATTTTTTTGCGCTTTATTCATTCAGTCAATTCTTTTTTTCATTTTTATTCTCTATTAGAGATATTATTTTACAACAACGAAGAACCAATAAAACCAACAACAATAATAATAGTTTAAATAACAATATAAATAATTTATCACATTTACAAATTTTCCAAAGATTATCAATTAAAAAAATTAAACTTTATACACTCTTATCTTTTGTTTTGTTCTTAACCAAAACATTGGGTAACGAATCATTAAGATTATTAAGTTATAAAACCAAAATATTATTTCAAACTTCAAAAATTATACCAGTTATGATAATTGGTGGAATCCTATTCAAAAGATCGCATACAACTACCGAATACGCCTCCATTGCAGCCATGCTTTCAGGTTTATTCTTGTTTGCTTTGGGTGATTCTGTAAACTCCTTCCTATCTCCTCTTGGAATAGTTTTAATTGTATCCTATATCTTTGTAGAATCTATAAAATCGATTTTGTATGAAAAAATTCTAAAAGATTTTTCCTCAGAACTAGAATTGGTAAATATAATCAATAAATATCTAATATTATAAAAAAAATAATACTAATAAAATTTTTTTTATTATTTAGTCATTATTTACAAATTTCTTTGGATCAATTTTAACTCTTCCAATTTTATTTTATTCAGGAGAATTAAAAAGCTCATTAGTTTATTTACTCACACACAAATTAGTGTTATTGTCAATGATGGGATTTATATCGCTTGGATATTTTGCAAATATAGCATATTTAAATCTTATAAAGATTACCGATGCTTTTTATGCAAATGTTATCTCGTCATTTAGAAAGTTTTTAACAATTTTACTTTCATTCTTTTTATTTCAAGACACAATGCTAACATTTCATCTTATTGGTATATTAATATTTTTTATTGGTTTGGGAACAGAAATTAGACAACAAAAACTAAAAGATCAAAAACTAAAACTATAAATAAATCAAAAATATAGTAGAAAGTTATAAAAAAATAAAATAAAAAAAAAAAAATTAATAAATTATTAATTTTAAAATATAACAAGTTTTTTTATTGTTTATTATATTTAAATATTATTTTATAATATATTTTTACATTTAGTTCTAGTTAAGAACCAAATATATTGAGTAAATGTTGTGTGTATGTGGAAGTATGTGTATGTGATGTAAATGTTGTGTGTATATATATTTTTAAAATGTGTATTGTGTCGTGTAATGTGTTTTTGTGTGTGTGTGGAAATGTATTTATGTGATGATATATTATTATTTATTATTATTATTATTATTATTTTATTTTAAATTATTTGTGAATACAGAATCTCTGGCGTAATCAGCATAATTAACTGATCTTTGAATACCATCATTAACAAGTTCTTTAACGAGTGGATTATTTAATTGAGCTTTAACTTGTTCACCCATTGATTGAGCTAAATCACCAATGAGAGCAAGAGCTGATGATGTGACTTCATCTGAACGATCACCATCTGAATGAATAACTTGAATGAAATTAAACATATCGTTAAGGTAAATGTTAAGTTCTTCTACTCTGTTATCACCTTTGAGACCTTGGAGGATACCAGTGTAAGCTTGGAAAATAGTTTCTCTTAATTCATTTAAGAATTCTTCATCATCTAACTCAGTCTTGGAAGCTTGGCTTAAGATTGGCATAACAGTTGGAAGATATGGGATAAAATCGGCACCAACAGAGATAGCAATATCACAAAGACATGAAATAGCACTTGGTTTAGCGTTCATAGAAAGTTTTGGATTGGTAAGATCACTGATGATTAATGGAACAATAGTCTCACAGATACCTGAGAATTTTTTACCAAATGAACGAGCTAAATCACCAACAATACCAATAGCAATATTGGTAACTGAACCATATTCTACATTTTGGAGGAAATTTATGAGGATGTTGAGGAATGGTGGGAAGAATTGTTCGAATTCGGATTCAAGAGCTAAGACAAGAGCATCGATAGCTAAAAGGGCTTCTTCGTAGATAATAACGGATTGGTTTTTGAATACTAAGAATAAATAGTTTAACATATCTTTAGCGTATGGTTGAATGTGTTCTTTTAATGTTGAGGCAATAGCTTGGAAAGTTGAACATAATAATGATTGAAGATTGAATTGAGCCTCACAGTCGTCTTGATTTAAAACTTCCATTTTGAATGATTGTTCGAAATCCATAAAAGTAACCTTTAAGATTTCGACAATTAATTCAGGTGAAGCATTAGAGTAGGAAATAAGAGAATTGAGAGCTTCATAGGCATTGGTTTTTAACTTATGATCATCATCTTCAATATCGGTTCTGTGTGCAGCTTTAATAAGACATTTGGCAATTTCTTGTGAGGCTGGTTGAAGAGTTGGATATGGACCTACACTGCCACCTTCAAAAGCTTGGCAAATGTTATGGATGGCCCAACAACAATGAGTGGCAACTTTAACGTTTTTATCTTCGGTGTAAGCAATAAGTTGTTTGAGGATACTTTCTAAAAGTTGTGAAACATTGAAAATTTGATGGTCACAGATTTGACCAATGGTCCATGAGGCAGTTTCCTTGACCATATCGTTTGTGTCACCGATTAATTGTAAAATGACTGGAATTAAATGAATAAGGGAATCACCAAGATTCTTACGGTCTTCTAAAATAGAACCCAATGCAGTACATGAGGCTTCTCTTAATCTCCACTCTTGGCTTGTAATATTGTTTTTAATAAATGGTAGAACCAACTCAGCAACACGATCTGGATCATTTTCGTTTAATTTTGTCATATGCATAAGATGAGAAATATATTGAATACAAGTTGCACCAGCTGGTGTAATACCCCAACCACCATCTTGATGTTCGCTTTGTTTGGTGAGAGTCTCTAACAAAATTGGAATTAAATTATCAAGAGCTTTTGGAATTACTAATTTATCTAATGGCTGTATATCGATTTGGTTTTGTTCTTCTTCTGCTAAACTTGTCCAGAATTCAATTGCTTGTAAAACGACATCTTCAGTTGGATCTTTTTGAATAGCTTCAACAGTTGTCTTTTTTTAAATTTGAAAAATAGAGTTAGTATATATCAATACATATTTATTAATTATTGGTAACATCATTTGATATACTTACTTTAAAAATTGGGTTCATATATTCTAAAATATGATCATAATAGATTGATGCAATTTTAACTAAATTTTCAAAGGCAGTTTTTTTGATTAATGGGTTTTGTGATTCTGAGTTATCGATAATGACCTTCATAATATAATCTCTTTGTTCTTTCTTTTCAAAATTGCCTTTAATAAATTCTAAGGTGTGACATAAAGCTTGAATACCAGCTAATTTAACATTTGGTGATTCATCTCTAATACCATCGGTAATAACTCTTAATACATTATCAGAATATTTACTCATAACATCTGGATCCTAAATTTATGATTTAAAATATGTTAATATAATAATAATAATAATAATAGTGTGATATTGTGTACTTACAATTTCTTCACAAATATAACCAATAGTTTGAAGTGTAACTTGTTTTAAATGTTCACCACCTGTTTCGATATTCTTAAAAAGAGATGGGATTAACTCTTCCCATAAACTGTGTGGGATTTCAATTAAACCAATATGTGAAATTACAATAGCTGCAGTGTGACGAGCATCATAAATTGGTGATGATAAACCTCTTAATAACTAGAATAGTAATAATTTTATAGAATTAATTATTTATTTTCATTGCTAAAATATCCCTAAAATTTTATTCCTATAATTTGTATACTATAAATAAATAATGAGTACTTACATCGTTTTTAATAACATTTCTAGCTGCAGCATCAATTGATACCCACTGTTTGATTAAAACTTCGTTTCTTTCTTGACTTTTAGAATAAATACTATTCTTTAAAACAATACCAGCTAATTGTCTAATTTTTGGTTCTCTTTCTTCATTGATAAGTTCGCTAGTTAATGAATGAATGAATAATGGCTATTTTAAGTATTAAAAAAAAAAAAAAAAAGTTAGTTTTTCATTTTCTATCATCGTTATTAATTTAAAATTAATAAAAAAAAACAAAATAAATAAAGATACCTACGAAATTTTGATTTGATGCAGTGGTTAAGAAATTTTCGGCAGCTTGACGAACATTTGGATCTAAAATTATAGTTTAAATTTGTAAATCACAAAAATAAAAAAATTTGATCATTGTTGTGTGATCATCATTATTAATTATTTGGTAATTGATAATTTGATTAAAAAAAAAATCATTGTTAATAATAATTTTTAAACCAATAATAATAAAATAAAAAAAATTTAATTTAAAAAAAAAAAAAAAAAAGGGTAAAAACCCTAATGTGAACTACATACCTGGATTACTGGCCCCTACTAAAGCTTGAAGTAATTCCATTTTATTTATATTTATTATATATTATACCTAGATTAAAACGAGGAATTGTGAGAAATAAGGATTATAATATTGTTTTTGGAACCCAATGGAACCCAAAGATAGAATAAAAAAATATATTTAGGTGTGAAATAATAAAAAAAAAAATTTTATGAAATTTTTAAAAAAAAAAAAAAAAAATAAAAAAAAAAAAAAAATAAAAAAAAAAAAAAAAATTTAAAAAAATTTTTAAAAATTTTTTATATTTAAATTTATACAAATATAATAGTTTTATATGTTTTTTTAAATATGTGTTAATAAAATTACATTACTTACCTTTTTAAAAAAATTTATAATTTTAAGATAAAGAAAAAACCAATATATACAAAAAAAAAAAAAAAAATATACAACACAAACAAATATTTATTGCGCTTTCTTTGAAATTTTTAATGACAAAAAAAAAAAATTAAAAAATTTAAAAAACTAAAAAAAAAAAAAAAAAGAAATAAATAAAAATGATTTTTCAAATAATGAATGGAAAAAGAGCGCTCTTTTAAAATGATCATCAACAGCCACAGAACCCAAATCCACAAGAACATGCGACAGTATAGAATGAAGTTCAAAGCAATAAAATCAGATCAAACGAAGAAGTTGTAATATATATAAATAAAAATAAAATAAAATAAATAAATAAAATTTAAAGATATAAATAAAAGAAATTACCCAATAAATAATAATCAAAAGATATTAGTTTTTTTTTTTTCGATGGTGGGGTGTAAAATATCTTTTTTTTTTTTTTTTTTTTTTTAAATTTGCAGAATTAAAATAAAAACACAATATTTTTATTAAAAATGGTTTGGTTAGATTATTACATAGTTTTAATAATGGTACAACATTTTGTTGATTTATAATACTATTACAATAGCATAAATTTAAATTGATTAATTACAACCACATGAACCACCTAATAAACCACCGACAATTCCACCAACGATACTAGTGACGGCAGTTAAATTGATATCAACATTGACATTAACATCAATATTGGCAGCTGCTGGAATAAAGATTGGACCACTACCGCCACAACCACCACATGCAACTTTATTTGATGACATTGATAATGAAGCACTCTTTGAGCTGATGCTTGATTTTGAGCTGGTGCTCATTGGAGATAATGAAGTTAAAGCAGCTAAAATAATATATAAATAAATTAGAATTAATTAATTTTAATAAAAATAATAGTTTTTAAATTAAACTTACATAAAATTGTCATTTTTGTTGTTTAGTTTTTGATGTTTTTGAGTTGATTAAATGTTTTTTTTTTATTTATTATTTATACTTTTTTTTTATCAATATTTTTTATTTAAATTTATTTAAAAAAATAAAGAATTTACAAAACTTTATATAAAGTAGTTACATTTTATTTGTTTTAAAACTTTATAGTATAAAATAATATAATATGGGTGTAAAAAATAAAAAAAAGTGTTAATCTATATTTTTTTAAAAAATCACACACTTGATTTATTCTAGTAAATCTTGTGTTTAAATATAGTTGTGTGAGTGAAAGATTTGTACTTTTATAGTGGTAAGGTTAAAAATGTCTTTTAAAGTTAAATATTATAATAATTAATTTAAAAAAATAACAGTTTCTTTTTAAATAAATGATACCAACCCCTCTATTTTGACTCTCAATTAATTAAAAATTGATTTATTTGATAAAAGATAAAAATTCAAATTATTTTTTTTATCTATAATAATTTTTTTTTTTTTTTTTAATTATTTAACTAAATAATA